GAGTTATTGATAAACACACACACACCACCTCCTTTTACCTTCCCTGAAGGAGCAGTGTGGTCGCTTCGATGTACAGAATGTGTTTGTAGCTGAATCGCTGAGTCTGGAACTCTGTCAGAAAGCCAAGTCTCGGTGAGAACTAGAGCACAGCATTCTCTGATTTCCCGTTGTGTTGTAATCCTAGCCCTTAGCTCATCCAGTTTGTTTTCCAGAGACTGTACGTTAGCTAGGAAGAGGCTGGGTAATGGTGGTCGGGTAGCGGGAGCTTTTAGCCTAGCATGGAGTCCTCCTCACCTGCCCCATTTGCGTCTCCGTCTCCGGGTCACTCTCCTGATTTCAGCCTGCTCGCTTGTGCCTGGTGCTCTGGAGGCTCCCTGAGGGTGATGGTGGTTGTCGTCGTTGTTGTTGTTGTTGATGTTGTGGGAGCGGGCAATGAGTTGTAGCTCCAGTGGTATGAAACCAGTAAATTCCCAGTGGCTTTGTGAGTTGGCGATATCAGTGAGGCCCTAATCCTCGGGGACCTCGACCATGCCATGCCTCCCTCCCCATCTCTGCCACCCTCCTACACAAAGAACAATAAAACTCTGGACCATACCGTATGCTAATGCTAGGAATGTGTACACTTCCGCCCCTCCCCCTCTGACCACAGACCTGTCTGTGATTTGAGTGAGAGCGATATCTGTTCCTGACTTTCTCTGAAATGCTTGTACTGTCTTGTTTTTGGGCATTCTCGAATTGTTTGTTAAGACGCGCCGCACGGAGCGGCAGCGAGTTCTGGTAGCTTTTGTGTTTTTTTTCTTTCCGTGCTTTCTGAATTTGTCCATGAAGATCAGTTTGTGGTATCTGTTCTTATGGTGTCTTGTTGCTTGCTTTCTGTTGTTTTTGTCCCTTACTGCTGCTGGAACACTGGAATTTTCCCTACTGTGGGATCAATAAAGTTCTACCCTACCCTATCCAGCAATGCCTGTCTGTTGGATGTTAGCAGTGCATGACATTTGTGCACTGCAGAAAAAGTAAAAAAAACACAGAAAAAAAAGAAAACAAAGAAAAAGCTGGCATTCGAGAGTGGATCGTGCAAACACGTCTGCCTCAGTGGGCGCCATGTTTTCTAGTTTCAGCATAGGTTAGACACGATAATTAACTTGTTCATGGCCAGTTAGCAGAAGTTCAGTCAGGCTTATTTAAAGGTCAGTTTCACTGAACCTAAACAAAAAGGTCACATAACCAAATCATAGTTAGATAATACCAGACGTAAGTGGGAAAAGATTTTATGCAATATGTGGTATATGCTTTGGGGCTCCACCAACAGTGAATAGGGAGATATCCAGCAGTGACGTCTTCTCATTTGATGTAGGTGTAATGTTATGCAGTTTTACCCAGTTATATCCTGGGTACCGTTGATTTTGTGATGATGTTTCAAAGATTAGTTTCTATGCATCAGTTTTCATGTTTTACATTAACAGCCTGTGTTGTCAGTCACCTTGACTGATGCTCTTAAATATTTGTTTTATTCCTCTGTTGATGATTTGTGTACGTTTGATCTGTGTACATGTGTGTTTGAGTGCATATTGTATCTGTATATCACCATACATTTTATCTGCATGCATTCCTGTGTGCATATATACCACACATACGAACATGAAAGATGTACTGTATGTCTGTGTGTATATGTTCATGTGTTTATCTGAGTGGGGTCCCAGACCAAAAGCCTTGTCTGTGTGCTGAGCGATGTTCCTTGCCCCGATCCAGGTCACTAATACTTTCTGATCCGACACAGTATAAAGGAGAGTCCACCTCAGCAGACGGACCTGAATCTTATTAGTATTCTGTCATGATATAAACATGAGATTTATTCTTTGGTAGAAGACAGTTCTAAAATAAAAAATGTTCACAGTGAGCTCTGCTGATTGTCCAGAGTAACAGGAGTGTTTAGCAAATTCTCTTGAATTTGTTTTTTTAATGTAACTTTTGAATCCTACCACCACATAGTATGTGGGTGACAGCAGAAACCTTAGTCAGAGATCTGACTCTGATTTAGTTGGACCTTTAATGACAGCAAACACAAGTCACTGAATAAACCTGCATATTATTGTGATTTGTTTTTTTCCCAGCCCAATAAAAGCAGCACAGGGATGTTCATTTTGCTCTCAGGTCCATGTTTGATTCTTTATACTGCGTCAAACTATTTTTCTGGCATTTGTGCTTTGGGTGTATTTCTAAACAAGTAGAGATGTTATTATTTCTCTAAATCTAAGACATGGTCATGCTGCTATTAACCCTGAGTACCCTGTGCAGGTAATGGTAGAAAAGACTATATCAAAGTTTGTAGTGCAGTATGCAGTAGTACTTTGTCTTTAGTATGATTCAGGCCATGTATCATTTCATCTGTCATTCCTCTTTACCTCTCCTCATGTTTCCTGTCACTCACCAGTGTCAGTTATTACTACTCTTACTAACACCTGACAGTAGAAGGTGGCAAAAAAACATCAACAAAATCTTATGACAACATGAAGCTTACAACAGTAATGAAAGAATAATAGTGGAGCATGTAGAAACTCACTGCTCGGTCATTTTACTTTCTCTAAACCACGTTTTTACATTAATGTACAGATGCAGAGTTACAGCACATAGACCGATTGTTCATGATTATCAACATGAGATGTATTAACTAGAATATCTGAAGGGTGTATTTTAATGTCCCACCATTACATTTTCTTTCCTCAGGCTTGCCGTGGAGATCTAAACCAAACCTACTGGTAGATTAATCAGCCCTATTGGTAGTCCCCTGTTGCAGAACAGAGCAGCATCATGGCATTCTGTGTTTACTTCTGTGCCATTAGCTAGTGCTGGCTAGAGCCCCACCACTTCCAAACACTGCAGGATTGATGAGGGCCATGGTGCTAAAACCTTCCCCTAGTCATCAGTCTGTTCAGGGGGAGTCTGAAGAGAGATGTGTGCTGTATACAGGCAAAGAGCTGTGGACACACAACCACATGAGGTAATAAAGGTTGTAAGTTTAAGGGCACTGTATTTTTGTTTTAAAGAATATGAGAGGTTTACTTCTCTGATAGCATGTTGCAAAGGCATTTCTGACGCTGTGCAGAGTAAATTTGTCATTTTATTGTCATCGTTGAGCGAGGGTGTGAAATAATCTCATTCAATAAACTTCACAGGTTGTGCAAAATGAGGCCGTTCTCACATTTGTATTTGTATGACAGGCGTTTTGATTCATTACATGAAGGGGAATGTGTCCTAATAGGTGTAAGAAGAAGAATTTCATATGAAGTGTTGGTTACCTGATAATTAACACTCAGTTTGTGGTTATGCATAAACAGATGAATTGTCCTTGTTACTACTAGCATGGGGCACAGTGGTTAACCATGTTTTGGTTTGGTAATGTATTAACCAAACTCTAATAAAAAGAAAACATTGCAGAAACACTCCTATAGCTTGCTAGAACAATGCTAAGTGGTAAATTGGGTTCTACTTTATGTGGTTGAGGCAGTGGTAGAAGCAGTTGCATTTTTACAAGCTACTAGTAGTAAATATTAATGGAGGAGTGGCAAATGTAGTAGTTGATCTAATGTTCTGTAGCGCTGCAGTACTTTGGAGTACAAAAACTCATCCTTATGCACTTGTAGATGTAAATGATAGATGACAAATCACTAAAACATTAACACTGCAAACTTAAAGCTTCCAGCTTGTGTCAACACTTCTCTGACACTGTGTCAACACAAAGTGTTCGTTATAATCTTGACAAAGATAAGACTTAGTGCAGACATATTGTTTTGGTTTGCATTAGGTTGTAACGTGTTGGTTTGTCAACCCCCTACACACATGCTCACGCGCACACACACATTTATTTGCAGGAATTCCTAAATCTATTGGTTCACACAGCCCACACACACTTAATCAGGCTAAACGCTCCTTCAGTACATGTTGATAATCACTGAGTGATAACATTTTTATGTGAGGCGTGTCTGATGGACTGCAAAGAGCAATGAGGATACTGAAATAAAAAAGAATTAAATTGTATCAGATCTCATACCAGTATTGTCAGCTAATGGCACATTTGTGCTTTTTGCATACATACATAGGACTAGTGTGTGTAGTCTAATCTTAAAACGCGTTAGTTCTCAAGTACTTTTATCAAGGGTGTGTTCATCTGGACTACAAACAGGCTGTTTGTACATGTGTGAGTGTGTTTGATTATTAAGCCCGAGTATATGTCTGTTGTCATATGAATGTAGATGTGGTAACCACTGGTAACTTGCCAAACATTGCCGTTTATCAGCCGCCCCTATCACCATGAGGTGTCTGGATCACACACATATGAATGCACACACACAACTGTTTTGGTGACACTCATCACTGCTTATGCAGGATTCAACATGGAGCCATACGTATTAGTGGTCTGAGAAGAGGCCTCACGCATATACGCACACACAATTGAGCCTGTTGTTTAAGATCTGGCCTGCACAGTGGTCATTAGGGGCTGGTTTCAATGACAAAAAACTACACATTCAAGCTTCAACTTGCATTCAGTTTGTGTGTAATGAGAGTTAGGCACCCTGTTTACACTTCCTGGCTGTCACTTCATGTGTCTTATGTGGTTTGGGTAGATACCCAATCTCTACAACCTTGGATTGAAATCTGATTGTTCAAGCCACCTTCAGAGGTGGTTTCACTGTCTAGCAGGATGTTAAAATGGTGTAATGCATTAGTGTCTTAAAGATGTACATGCAATCTTTACTCTTCCCATAACTACTGTATGCTAGCCAGCAGTCTGAGGAAATAACCACTCGTTTGACTAATCCAAGCTGACACTGAACGAGAAGCAGGGTACACCAGTCTATCACAGGGCTGACCCCTAGAGACAACCATTCACACTCCCATTCACACCTACAGGCAACTTAGAGTTGCTAGTCAATCTAGCCTGCATGTCTTTGGACTGTGGGAGGAAGCTGGAGCACCCGGAGAGAATCTACGCAGGCACAGGGAGAACATGCAAACCCCACACAGAAAGGAAGTGAAGTGTGAATGACATTGCCTTAAGTCAATCTGGATTTCTTCAGGATATGAGACCCTTGAAGTGACAAGTGTACCTGGGGTCAGATTTACTAAGGCAGTTAGTTATTTAACTGAGCTAGTTTGTCATCAGGTCGGCTGGCCCCTGAAAGTTGTCTAGTTGAATCATTCATTGAGAGACCCAGCTGAGACTCTTCTGGTCGAACCTTTGTTTTTGTTTCTTTATTTTTTGTCAGCCAGTGTGCATTACACTAGAAGGTAGCACCAGCCACTGTTAGTTTGTTGTCTTCTTTGGGGGCGACTGTGGTTCAGTGGATAGAGCAGTTGTTTCCCAACCGGAAGGGGGAGGTTCGAATTTCGGTGCCTGCAGTCCACATGTCAAAGTGTCCTTGACCAAGACACTGAACCCCCATTGTCCCCGATGGTTACAGCCATTGGTTTGAGTTGGTGCCACAGATGGCTGCCATCGGTTCTGTACTGGAAACAAATTCCTTGTGTGTAACATAGTTGGCCAAATAAAGGTGATGATTATTATTATTATTGTCCTTCTTCTCCTCATTTTGGTTTGCCAAGCAGCAATTGGCTCAATACTTCCCCCTGTATGATGCTTGTATGTTTACAGTCCGACGACACAATTAAGCAAATTACTGCCCCAGAACATGGAGAAAAAGACAACAAAGTCCACTAGAACAAGACACATAAAAGTTTTACTTTAAAAGTGTTTTCAAACATTGGGGTCTACTTTTTGTTGCTGGTTTTGCATATGTGTTTAGCAGCACAGGGGAGACGCACCGGCCTCCTCGGACCCTTCAAACGGTGTGAAGTATTGTCTAACTATTGTCTATGGTCAAAGTTTTTGTGATGGTGCAAGAAATAAAAAAAACATGACATAGTATATTTGTGATCTACAGGTAATAAGGAAAGTGCTCCAAATTTCTGCAACATATTTAATTAATTTAGTCAGTTTTATATTGTTAAAAACAAATCTCCTGCCTTGGCGGGACAATTAACTTTATTCTACAGTGTTATATTGTGTTCTCTATTGTGTACATTCTACTCTACTATCATAATTTCATTTGTATACTGATTATTGTATTTGGGAAAACAATTACAATAAAATAAAATAAATTGCCAACTTTTTCTTGTGTGTCTTTTCACAGGATCTTCCCCAGGGAATACCTGCTACAGCATATTCACCTGTACTCCGTGGCTGACCTGCAGCAGGTAAACTATGGGTGTCTGGTTGTGACAAACTGTACTTTACTTAAGCTAAACTGATGTCGGCGGCGTTGTACTTGTACTCGAAGCTTCATCTTTGACTTCAGTATATATTTGTAAATACCTGAACATAAAGTCCTTTGTAGCTCTTTGTCATTTTCTCTTTTTTTTGTTTTTCTTTTCTGAGCACCTGAATTTAGTGACTGTTTGTCAAGTTTATGATTGTGTCAACGTCCCATCACCGCAGCATTATGGGCGGAAAGTACAAATGTTTTGAGCAGCTACGTCAAGGGCATAAAAATAACAAGGTTTTATGTGACTCAAATACTTAAGTGAAGTTTCTACAAATACCGTATGTACTTTTGATAAATTACTCCAGAAGATTATTTAAAGGTTAGAGGGCCTGGGACAGCTGACCCGGTGTTCCCCCACATCGGCTGTCGTTACTAACTCAACTTTTTCTTGTCTATAGAAGTATTTCCTTCTGTTTTACTAATGTTTGCTGAAAACTAAAGTGCCCAGCTGTTCCTGGGCCTTTTTAAAGACTATTAATTTGTGCACGCCTTCAGTAACAACCGATAGGCTTAGAGCAGGGACACAAACAGGGTGGAAGTTAAAGAAAGTTTTTTAGATGAACCAACACATTGTTGGGTTTTGGTCTTTCCATGAGATTTGTTGACAAAAAGAAAGCTATAGAATAATGCTCTTGTTATCCTTTAAGTAAACACAACCTGTCCTTTGTTTCATGTCGTAGCAGTGATAACTCAGGGTAATACCCTCTAATAGCCCTATTTAAAACAGGGTCCTGTTCCAGGAAAACAATGGTCTTGGCAGAAAGAATTCATATCTGGTGTTGTGGACAGCTTTAACTCATCATCTCCTGTTACCTTCGAGTACAAAGACACCTCACTGTGTGTTACTGCTTATTTAATTAGATTTCTTATCAAATTGCAAATTGTCATGCCTGTGTGCCTGCTGTTGATACCTGTTACACCTCCCACCTGTGTTTTAATCTTGGTTATGAGGAGAATTTATTTAAGGTCATTTAAATGTGTTGAGTTTCATATAGTAAAAGTAGCCAAATGCTTCTTTTAGCATTAAAGGAAGCCCACCCTCAGCAGTTCAGCATCTAGGCACCAGGCTGAGCTGAGGGGGGGGGGGTCAGAGGAAGGCGACCACAAATGACTGAAAAGTTCTTTTGCTTGTCATTATGGCCATTATGTTGTACCCTGCCCCATTTCTTCTTTCATCCCTCTCTGACCACAGACTCTCACGCTGAAAGGGATTGGACCCCCACCCCCAATCCTCCTCCACTCCCACACTCTGTGTTTCTCTGCTTCACTAATTGGTCACATTGAGAATCAACAGGCAGAAAAACAAAGCGTGACATCCCTCCATTCTTCCCAACATCCCCTTGGCCTTACACACGCTCAGAAAG